GGATCGCCCTCAATATTACAACTCAGAAGACTATAATTTTATATATATTTCTTGTTTCCCCATACGTTCTATATGTCCAGACCGTAACACCCTTCTTGATATAAATAGTTTAACGATAAATGACATTAAGTGAAAGGTACAAATTGTAAAGCTCATCATTATGTAATTTTTTCCGTTCACCAGTTGTTTAATTTATCTTGTATTTAATTTTATTTCGTGGCATGCCAGCAGGCATACTTTAAAATACACTTCAAGCAGATACTTCTACCAGACTACATGGCGCTACAACCCAGAGACAGACATCTTCGTACTCACCGCCGTGATAACCTCAAATCCTACTCCGGTTGTAGTATGTTATTTCCCAGCAGACTCATAGAAAAATGCGGAGTCCTTTCCTTATAGCAGGGCATGCAGCTCGTGGTGAGGACAGTCCTCCCTCTAATTCCCGTGAAAATAACTGTGACGTGCTTTCTCTCAACAGGCTCGCCGATGTGCGCACACAGAAGGGTGTGTGCTGCATGCCATGTGCTGTGGAACTTGGTCTATGTGGGCGCCGGCATTGTGCAGCTGGTCGCGGGAATATTCTTCCTTATCTCGCTTCCAATCTTCAAGATGGGCTCTAATATTTGGGCAGGTGCTTGGGTAAGCTAATCGACACCCATCTCTAGCCAAACTGTAATGAAACATAAGTAAGAATCTGAAAGGAACACTCGTAATAATTCTCTGATTTTGCACATATCTGACTCCAAAGTATAGTAAGTGATTATTGTTTATTGTTCCAGAATATTGTTGTTGGAATTGGTGGAGCAATGCTGTCTTGTATTGGAGACCTTACAGCCAAGAAGCAAGAGGCTTTGCTGTTTCTCACAGTGTCCATTTTTGCAATAAATGTAGTAAATATCGTTATTCTGGAAATTGGAGAGTGGCACTTCTTCATGACAAGCAACATACAAGAAATTATTGGACAGAAGAATCTGAAGAAATTGGTTTTCTATGGTATTATATAGCCTACTTATGCCTCTTCTTTGTTAAACACTCCTTGCACAAAGTATTTTAAATGAACGTATGTAGGGAATACCTTGTCTATCTGTCTGACTACAAATTTTATCTACAAAATTACTTCATGAATTTCCATGAATGCAATTACTCAAGAATCCATCACTAACAAATACTGGAGTAGGATCCAGCATTACAAAATTAATCAATTACATCAAAATCCATTGTGTAGTTTCTAATTTGGAATACACTAAGTATTTTCTTTAATAATTACTTCATATAGTTCATTGGCTTTGTTTTTGATGTTTGCAGATAAACTTATAAGTAAACTGTTACCAGACATAATTTTCAGATGAAATAATTACTGTACTGCTTAGTCATAAATTCTGATTTTGATTAAGTTAAGTGACAGCAGAGGGAATAAGTTTGACTGAAAAAAAATTCCTTTGTATTTCATTAAATAAAGCATATACAGTCTGTACAAAGTGATCATCCAATTAGAGGCCACAGACTTCCAGTAAAACCACTATTTATGCATTGATGGTGATAAACTCCAGACTTCCAGTAATACAGTAAAACAACTATTTATGCATTGATGGTGATAAACTGTTGCAGGTATGCGACTTCTAAAAGGACTGAAGTACGTATCCACAACATATGATTACACTCGGTGCACAAATAATGGTTTTATTTCTGGTTGTCTGGGGCCTCTTGCAAGAGGCTCACTCTGTATATTACGAAATGCCCACTTAGTAGTATTAAATTATTGCATGCGTGCTTTACTGGTGATATCATGCAATATGTGTAACTCATTGGACAGGAAAGTCATTAAATTAGGCCATAATAGCTTTCTTCCACATCCCTTCCAATTCATTATTTACTATCAACCTCTAATTTGATGCTACATAATCTGAGCTACTGAAAAAGTGTTGTTAAATAACTATAAATGAATATAATCTGGTATCAATATTTTCACTCACACAAGTGCAGATTAAATGATAATATAAAATAGATCAAATGAAACACTATAAAATGGTTACTATTTTGTTTTGCTCAGGATAGGATATAGTAGCATGTTCACTAGAAACATGATAAAGAATCTATGGGTTCCATAAAAGACGGGGAATTTCTTGACTAACTTGGGGACTATTAGCTTTCTCAGTAAGAATTCTTCTCCATTAAATTAGATTGACATTTAAAACGCATTTTCAGCTTTGCATATCAGGTATGTTCTTACCGCATGTTACAGATTTCATATTTCTGGAATTACATCATATCTATGCAATAAATACGGTCCAGTTAGTTAAAACGAAGTAATTACCATACAAGAAAAACATCTGATGCAGCATGACAGAAGACTAGAATATTTCTTTTTATTAAACTAGGAATTTAAAAATTCTTTCTGTAAAAAACTATTTTGAAAAGCTATATGCAGCTATTATTGATTTAGTATATATTGCAAATGCTTATAAAATGGTGGAGGAGTTGTATTACATGATTCAGAAGTACTAGTTAATTTAATCTAATAAGAACTGTAAACATTTAAACTAATTTGATGTGCAAGTTGTTCATAAAATACTGCCAATTTAAAATGGTAGACCTGCATGTATTATGGCTGCTTTACGGCTTTTCTCATTTCAGCCCGAGTGACGACAAGTATTAGTACTGCAGTTGCCATTGTGACATCGTTCCTGGATAGTCAGTTCACATTTTGCTCTATACAAAGATCTAGACCTCCAAAGAGGAGCATTCATGAGCAAGTTTCAGACATAGAGTACATATTGCCCAGGGTAAGATAACATATTACACATCTATTGTATGAAAATTTATCTCTGTCAGATACTAGGGAAAAAATTGGAATACATTAGTTATTTACAGATTTCAAAAAAGCCTATGACTCTGTTAACAGGGGTGTTATACAATATTCTCATTGAATTTGGTATACCAAAGAAGCTAGTGAGACTAATAAAAATGTGCTTAAATGAAACCCGGAGCAAAATTCGTATAGGTAAATATTTATCTGAGTCATATTCCATCAAGAACGGTCTGAAACAAGGAGATGCTTTGTCTCCACTGCTCTTTAACTTTGCACTAGAATACAACTATTGGCATATGCTGATGATGTTAATTTATTAGGTGACGACATAAATACAATACAGAGGAACATGGAAATTTTACTAGAAGCTAGCGGACAGGTGGGACTAGAGGTAAATTCAGAAGAAACAAGTACATGATGGTATCTCATCAGCAGACAGGCAGGCAGAATTATCTTAGAATGGCTAATAAATCCTTTGAAAGTGTGACAGAGTTCAAATATTTGTAAACAACAATTACAAATCAAAATGATATTCATGAAGAAGTTATGAGGAGACTGAATTCCAGAAATGCTTGCTATTTCTAAGTTCAAAATATTTTGTCTCCCCGTCTGATTTCTAAGAACATGAAGATTAAAATATACAAAATAATTCTGGCTGTTGTTTGTATGGGTGCAAAACATGGTTTCTCACTCTGACGGAGGAACATAGATTGTGTTTGAGAATAGGGTGTTGAGGAGTATATATGGGTTTAGGTGAGAAGACGATGGGGTATGGAGAAAATTGCATAATGATGAGTTTAAAAATTTGTACTCCTCCCTCAGTATTGTCAGGGTGATTAAGTCAAGAAGAATGAGATGGGCAGGACGTGTGGCACGCATGGATGGGGCAATAGGTGTGCACTGGGTATTGGTCGGGAAGCCTGAGGGGAAGAGACCACCAGGGAGACCTAGATGTAGATGGGAGGATAATCTCAGGTGGAGTCTGTGAGAGATAGGAGTTGGCTTTGGTTATTTCGGTGATGAACGTTCGGGTTCCACAAGCCATCTAGTTAGTTAGTACTTAATAACTTTTCTTTAAATTCTGAACAGAATTTACTGTATCATCTGAGTAATCATAGGGTTTGTGCATAGGATTATAGATAAAATGAAATATTATTTGGTGTTCACCAATGGCTTTGTTTCATTCCAGAAAAAACCGAACTCTGTAGGGAAGCAAGCCCACAACATCTACAGCCAATATGCACAGTCATGGGTTTTTGAAACAGACACTGCTGGATCCTCCAAGAATGAATCACCCTACCTGAAACTTCCAAATGTGCAAGTAAATGAAGGCAACAAGACTATAAATCTAAAGAATAATAAGAGTGCTAGGATAGATGTTCACAGGACTCACAATAATGAACCAAAAACGTGTGTTGTGAACCCAATAGTTCGTGTGGAACAAGTGTCTGAAGAAAGTAATGGGGACCGGAGTTTGAATTACATGAAGAGTTTCTCAAGGACACCATCTCCTGCTGCGCTTTCAGAAAGTTCCTCCCAGGATTCAAATACAAACCTTCCCATATATGAATGCCTGGAGAGGCTCACTGAACCTGCGCTATATAGGTCGCGACTGAACACTGCAATAAGTCTGAATGCAGAGTCTTCCAATATTGCTGTCAGTCCTAAACCTGCACGACCACGAAGTGAAATATTCACCAAAGACAGACTGGGTATTGTTGAAGGTTTAGACTTTAATGATAAGGTTCAGTATGCCTCACTGATGGTGGAACTGCAGCAAACATTTTTGTCCAAGAAGAAAATGTTTCAACAGCCAACCTCTCCTCAAAGTGCAAGTGAAAGTGTAGCTATGGAAGACTCGCCAGAGAAGACTTACAGTGAGTCTAAAGGCAGTAGTTGTCAGGAATCTTCGCAAGATGATTCGCAGAGGACAGGACATAAAGGCAGTGACGCAGAGTTCTGCAAGGAACTGGAAGCAGCTTTACAGCTAATACAGGACCTTGAGTCCCCAAACACAATAGAGACTCCATCTGAAACCTGCAAGTCTATTGAGGAAGTGGATGTGGTATTCACCAGTGCTCCTATGGTGTGTGTTCAGTGGGAAAACAGTGAGTGTGCCTCACCAGTGCCAGAGGATATCACCTCACAGGGTAAGGAAAGTGAGTCTTCATCCTCTGGTCGCCTGCCACTTCCCTCTGTCCCTTTGCAGGCTCTAGTACCATCATTTCCGTGTTCTTTCCTCCAGGAAACAGCACGGCAGAACTACAAGACATCAAACTTATTGCTGGGGTTCAAGAACCCAGTAATATCCCTTCAACTTCAAATAAAAACTCGATTAACATGAATAATGTTAAAAGTAATAACAATAACATTTACAAAAGAGTAAAACGAGTACTGCCACCAAAGATGTTACTACAAGACGGTGTTGATACAATGAACGAAGTGTCCACAGCAGGTTGTCATTCCCAGTCTGCTCCCAGCTCCACACGTTGGACCGTCAAGTCTCTGCTGAGAAAGAAGACCAGTCTACCCATGTTTGCCCCGGAATTGGAAAGTGCAATATTCAAATCTGAAAGTCTTGCATATCTTACTGAACTTGAGCTTCTTGCTAGACATGCAAGAAACAAATCTATACAGAGGGTAAGAATAAAAATCCCATAATGACCATTACTTTACTGCAGAGAATGTGGCCTTAATGTAGTGTAGAAAAACCATTTATTCCTAGAATTTGTCACCAATCAACATATTAATCTCTGCTTTAGATAAGAACTTCCTGTAATCATCAGTGACCCAGTATATCCAATGTAAGGTTGAAATTGCTCCTGTGCCTTAAGCACATCATGAAGGAGGTATGGATGTAAAGATCCACACATTCTACATGACAACATTAAGTGGTTACCTTCACATTTCATTCAACTTTACACCATGAAAAAGGGCACACACTGGCCATTAGACAGATGACTGGGTGCATTCCCAAGTCCTGTAAATCAAATTTTGGATTTTGGAAATTATGTACATACTTCGTAGGTGATAGCTATAACAGCCTAGAAAAAATTTGGTTTGCTTTAATTGTGCGCATAGCTTACATCTTCCTTGAGGGGCAAATGTGTAGGGTCTATAGTTATCTATTTTGTTATGGGGTAGAAATGCAGCTAAGTCCTATTTTAATGTGATGGTTGAGAAGAATACTACTCCGTATTTGAAGTTAACTACTACAGCGAGACAAGCACAAATGATGTTCTTTGTTCCTGTGTTTGTGTGGTTCATTTGGGCACACATCTGAACTAACCCAAGGAATGGTATCAGTAAAAGAAAAAGATGTGCCTGCAATATCTCAGATAAGTGATTTTTCAGTGCACAGTTCAATGAGTAACAATGTTCTTTTGTGGTGGTGGTGGTGGTGGTATAATAGTACCTGCAACAGCAGCAGCAGTAGCAATACAGCAGGAGAACAATAATATATATAAATAATCTTCATACTTGTTCAGGAAACAGTTCACTACATAATCAATACTTATTGCTTGCGACAAATATTTAATTGCAGTACACTACTAGCAATCCTTCAGTAGAAGTATGAGATTTGGTGTTGCTCAGACATTGTAACAGCTTGTAACCTTGCAGAAACCTTTTATGTATGAATGGGTTGTCATCACTAGACATGTCTATTTGTGAAGATGTCTTTGATGGTTTCTTTTAGTTTTAAAATTTTAAACTAATGCTACACAACAAACTTAGCAATCAAGGAAGAGGTTGCCGGAATGAAATTGGCCCAGCTGTATTTCCAGGATGATTAGTGCACTGTCAAAATAAGTTCTGACTGAAAGAAATTCTGTTCTATCATAGAAGTAATTTTAAAAGGAATTGACTCTCACACAAGCATTAACATTTTATATGTGTAGTTGTTTTAAAACTCCTACTTGCTACAAGACTTACAGCCTGGTGGTTGACGCAGGAGATGATAAAATGGCAGAAATTTCTTCAGCAGTGATGCAGTTTATCTCAATCTTTTCAAATTTATGAACAGAATTAAACAAGGCACCTCAACACTGCAACTGTCTTTAGGATTATCTTTCAAGAGTAATGCGTGTTAAGAAAGCCACTGAACAAAAAATATGATGTATTAAATTTAAGTGGAAAGTGACAGAGTTCTATAATCATGTATGACTCACTAGCTCATGTCACAATCTTCATTTTGATTTGTGATATACACAATCAATATAGGGTTTCGGTGGTAAATGGATACAAATTACATAAGTAGAAACATGCATGGAATGGCTGCAATAGATTACAGATTATTTGAAAATTTTAAGCAGGTCTATCCAACTTCTGTAGAGGAATGTAGACATAAAGATGCATGTTTAGTAATGGGCTACATGTTGCATGACATATTCAAGGATTTCAAGAACACTGTCTGTTCACACACACTCAGTCTTGGGCTACAATTTTTTGTCAGTTATACTGTAGCACACTTCACAGTGAGTCAAAACTTAAAAAAATTACACAATACCATTATATTAACAAATACAAGAGATGTGCTTCACAGGCTGCTGAGTAGAACAATTGAACCTAAGAGACAAAAGTGACAAAAGACTGAAGAAAATTGCATAATTGGAGCTTTATAATTTGTGCTCTTCATCAAATAATATTAGGATGATCAGATCAATGAAAATGAGATGGGATGCTGTTATAATCAACACTAACTTACCTAGATGTTAAAAGAAAACAAAAATTGAAATAAGGTAGCTGTTTTTAAAATACTGTCATAATTTTTATATTTGTGATAAGGATATATTATAATATAATATTAACTAGTATTTATAATCTAGTAGCAGTCTGCAGACTTCTGGCTGATAAACACTAACACACACACACACACTCATACATATAGGGACACCTGACATTCTACAATAATGTATTAACTATTTTATAATTAAATTTCTAATTTACTCTGAGATGTTTCTGCTATGTACTCTAATAGAGTTCTGTTTTCATTCACAGCAAATTGAATTCCGGGTCCATCAGCAAATCCTGAGACGTTCAGCTAAATGTTTCACTGCTAAAGAAAAATGAATGAAGATGCAGCCGACAATTGGAATGCAAAATAATAAAGAATGGAAATTTACAATCACGAGCAAGCAGGTTTCTTCATGTGATGTCCACAATCGAGAAAAGTTATGATGTTAATATTAGCATTTGTTCACAGTGTCAATCAGCTTCATTTTAAAGCTTTTCTGTCATTGTCAGTATCTTTGATAAGTTATATAACTGTCCTTGAAGCAGGAGTTTATTGAAAGAACTTTTTAAAATCTGGGAAAGTTTAAAGAATTTATGAAAATTTGTATTCCATTGTTATATTTTTTAATTGTTTCTAGCCTGCTTAAAGAAGTACTATAATACAATGCTTGTACGTCCATAATATCCCATGCCAAGGAAACCTTTTATTTACGAAATGTAGGTAACAAGCATGAGAAAATACTGATCAACAACAGCATCCTCTTTTGAACAATGACAGTATTATAGTAGTTTACAATGTTTATAAACAGCGCTTAGTGTGGACAGAAGATGAGACAGGAAGCAATAAAACTTGATTACAGAAACTGAAAGGATGATTTGGTGCTGGTATAATAAAAATTGTCTATTTTCTCCAATAACAGTTACAGTATTTAATGTTTATAGTGTTATAATCTCTTTAAAGCAAATCCCTAAATTGTTACAATACTACTTTTACACACTTAGAACCGTCCAAAAAGACGTGAACATGTTGATAGAATTTATTGTGAGTTAATTGTATTGATCTGTTTGTAGACTAAAAAATAATAAAGTTGGAATTTAATAATGTTTATAAAGATATGTTTCCTTCCTTTGGTTTTGATCTGTTGTTCACCCTCAATTGATGGATATTCTAATGATACAGTGAAGTGGTTTCAAATAAATGGCAAAACAATAAAATCCTTGGAACTTTGGACATTAAGGCATACTGCGATGAAAATATTTAACTGGATCTTAGAAAAATGGGTCGTGACCTTGACAGAAGTGGCTCAGCACAGAGTTGAATGGTGACTGATGAATTTTGTAGATGTACATTAAAAGTAAGTTAAAATCACTATAAACCTACAGAACAGGCAAAGACAATGGTTTAGCTATATCTCTACAGTTTTAATACTTTGAACATTGTGGGGGGGGAAGCACAAAGATTTCATAATCTCTGTCAATACATGGTATTTAACATAATTAAAAGCCCTGCAAAGTGCAGTTATACAATCCTTTGAATGAGGAAGGGCAATCTTTACATTGCATTTATGACATCTGGTTGATTATTCATTATGGAATATCTAATAAACACACAAACAAGGAACTCCCCAGTTCTCTTTTGGCATTGGCATCTGTTATCATTTTTTGCCTCATTCATCTGAATGAGACAGCATCTGAGGCAAACTTGTTGCACACTGGTATTGTTTTGTTACAGCATTCATATTCTAAGGGTTAGGCAAATTGTCTTACCTTCACCTTCGTGACAACGCTAAAAGCATCACGATTTCTTAGTGAACATTTATGTTAACTGCTTTCATCTGTACTGAAGCACTGCACTTTCCATTTAGGATGTTTCCCAATCCCTTCTCGTAGCTGAGCTGTACAGAATTATAAATGAATTGCATTTCGAAGGATAAAATTTTAAATTAATGTGCAGCGCTCGTTGATTTAGCGCTGCTGTCGACCGGATGTTGAATAGTACGGGTATTGTCCAGTAGCTGTCAGTTTTTCTCAGTTGAGAGGTGTGGGGTGTATTGGTTTAGTTTTATAGTTGGTTTCCTGTAGTTTGTAGAGTACTCATTTCGTAGCAGTTGGCTTAGGAGTAGACGAAGTATCATGTCAAGTGAATCCGTGAAAACTGTGAGTGTACCGAAAAATAATCATGTGTAACGTAGATCTTCTGTAATTAGTAAAGTGTATATCAGAATATTTTGGGAGTGTTCGAAGTATATGGTTGTGTTTGGAATTGTTTCGTGTCGGCTATGATAATTATACGTTAAACGGCGAAGAAGCTTTGTAATATATGTATTTGTTTCCAGTTTGCTAGTTTGGAGACCCCTGGTTATGTTGGATTTGCAAATTTACCCAATCAAGTTCATCGGAAATCGGTGAAGAAAGGCTTCGAATTTACATTAATGGTTGTAGGGGAATCGGGATTAGGGAAATCAACTCTAGTAAATAGCCTTTTCTTGACTGATCTTTATCCAGAGCGTGTGGTTCCAGATGCTGTTGGTAAGTTGCTATAACCTTATGTGCCTTGATACTAGATATTTGTAGTGTGAAGTGGTGAGGTTGTTTTTCTTTGTGCAGAGAAGACACATCAAACTGTTAAGTTGGATGCATCAACAGTGGAGATTGAGGAACGGGGTGTGAAATTAAGACTGACAGTGGTGGACACTCCAGGATATGGGGATTCTATTGACAATACTGACAGGTGAAGTCTTGCAATGGAATGTACAAAAATAATACTTCTCCATTACTACGTATGTAACCAGTCTAAATTTTTCAGTTTCCGGGCAATCATTCAGTATATAGATGACCAGTTTGAAAGATTCTTACGGGATGAAAGTGGTTTAAACAGAAGAAACATTGTTGATAACAGAGTTCATTGCTGTTTTTACTTCATCTCCCCATTTGGACATGGGTAAGAATTTTGTTACAGTATTATTGATAACAGAATTTGTTGTTGTTGTGTTTAATTTATAAGAATGTGGAATATCGAAGTTTAAAGTACTATTAATCAGTATTTCTTGTATTTACTGTCTTTCGTTGCAGCCTAAAGCCTCTTGACATTGAGTTCATGAAACAGTTGCACAACAAAGTGAACATTGTCCCAGTCATAGCAAAGGCAGATGTCTTAACAAAAAAGGAGGTCTTAAGGCTGAAGAAAAGAGTAAGAATATAATACAGTATTTGCACAGTAATATTTTTTTTGTGAATCTTCTGATTTTAAGAATATAGTTATGACTTCACATTGTGCTGCTCTAGGTAATGGAGGAAATTGAGAGCAATGGAATCAAGATATATCCTCTCCCAGACTGTGACAGTGATGAGGATGAAGATTATAAGGAGCAGGTATATCAGATGATACATACTTTTTATTCTGGTTTGCAGATTATTGTATCTTTGTGTGCCTACTTACCCTACCCTTTCCTTGTCATCCTCATCTTAGAATTTGTTAATTTTAATGGGTAGGACTGGATCTACTGAATTACAAGTCAGGCCAACCACCTCAGGCTCTGCACTTCAAAGAAACTGCGCCCAGACATCACAATACATTTCTTTTGGTCATGTAAGTGTGTATTTTTTGATAAATTTAATTATAAAAATACTGATGAGACATGACATACAAGAGTCATGCTTTCATGTTCAAGGAAGCTAGTTTAGAATGCTTGTTGGTGTCCACTCAATGTGATGGTGTTTACTGATTGTGTGTAAATAATCAACAGTAGCCCACGTTAGCATCTGTGACAGTTTCTAGGAATGCACCATTGACATGCTGTCTTGCTAGTTCATACTGTGCCATATACTTTCAATAGTTAATCTCTCAAGTTCCATTTAATGTAGAACTGCCTCTCAGAAATGTACATTCTTCTTTAATTCTTAATTTCCAATAATGATTCATACCACTACAAAACAGTTTTTGAATTGTGAAGAATCTGATTTTAACTGCTCTGCTTTTGTCTTTGCTGTCCACATTGTTTTCCTTTACATCTCTTTTTAGCAGTGCTACATAACATTACACCTATTAACACTACCAGAAAACCTAAACCTGTCAGCTCTTTGCTGTATCTGGGGTGATTATATGCATTTCTACAGATTCAACCTGGTATTCAGAACATGATACAGACTGTACTGTATTGTTGGAATATCCATTATTGTATAAATGGTGCTCTTCTGGGTTGTTGTGCCATGTAGTCTGGCCGTATAGAGCCACAAAAATCTCAAATCCTATATCCGTTATTGCATTCATAATCTCATTAAAGCCAGAAATATTTAATTATACAAATAAATGTTCGTGCACTTCCAGGTAAGACAATTAAAAGAAGCAGTCCCATTTGCCGTATGTGGAGCCAACACATTGTTGGAAGTACGTGGACGAAAGGTGCGTGGACGACTGTACCCTTGGGGGGTTGTTGAGGTTGAAAATCCTGACCACTGTGACTTCATCAAACTGCGCACCATGCTTATGTGAGTGCCTGCACTGCTTAACATTACACTGCCATAATCTGAGTTGTATTGCCATGATAATTATCAGTTGTGAAAACAATTAAGTAGTTGTAAAACCATTTTAAAAGTTCACTGAACATATAATAATAAAAAATTTCCTTTCAGAAGGTTTCATTGGAAACATAATTTACATGAGATTTGTATTGCATGAAATCCTTTCAGAATCACCAAACCAGAACTACGGGCCATAGATTATACCAAGTTGCATAATATAGAGACCATGTTGTAGAAGGGTATCTTCCATATTTCAAAATATAAGGATTCAGATGAAATCCTGTCAGTCGGCCTATTTCATCACTGTCTGTTACATAGCATAGGTTCTAAATGTAATTAAACTGGTTCAAAGTTATGTCCCATGGCAGGCCTTGGTATTGACAATATCAAATTTGTGTGTCAAGTATGAATTTATATGCCAAAGTTGGGATTAATTTTATTGTTTGTAGCACACATATGCAAGACCTGCAAGAGGTAACACAAGAGGTTCATTATGAAAACTACCGCTCTGAGCGACTTGCTAAAGGTGCTCCTGTACCCAAGAGGCAGACGTAAGTGCAGACTGATATTGTTCTTATCATTATTAGGGATCTCACATTTAAGAACAAAGATATGTACTAGATTATGAGACCACATACTCTACAGCTGTATGAACACTTAGCTCTCTTACTAATGTTATGGGAACACTAAAACTGGGAATGACAGTTATCGCTCCGCATCACAGCAGGAGATAATTCATTAACATGACAACTTTCTGTGCAGTGTTTGATGAGTGAAATTTTGAAACAGTTATTTTTATTGGTACTACCTTTATGTAAATCTGGGGAGCAAAGAAAATAAACATCAACAATGAAGAGGCATGTTGAAGTCTATAGAGCTTAACAGCAAAATGGAATGAAAGTTCCAAGTTTTGCTGTTCTTGGTAGACAGTACTCAGAATTCATCAGCCCTAGAGTCATGTTAATAATTAATACTTAAAAAAGAAAATCAGACAGTACTCAGAATTCATCATCCCTAGAGTCATATTAATAATTAATACTTAAAAAAGAAAATTGTTGCAACTGTGCTGTATGTTATAGATGAACTATTCCCCCAAATAGACAGAGGGCTGTAACATTAATTGTTTTGTGAAATTCTACTGCAAATAAGGGAATGTAAGAAGGTAATGTCTTAGATAAAATTTTAATTTTTAATGTAAAAAATGTGTGTTGGTATATAATTATTTTTGAAGGCATGAAATATCAAAAATTCACACAATATTTCACTAATAATTTTGATTACTTATTGCAGACTGTTGGCTGGAGAGGAAAAGGTAACAGTGGAGAAGGACCGCATCCTTCAGGAGAAGGAAGCAGAGCTGCGTAGGATGCAGGAGATGTTGGCTCAAATGCAGGCACAGATGCAACAGCAGCAGCTGTAGCATTGCCTGAACTAAAAGATGCCAAGACATGTTCCTCTGTGAGGTCAATATATTTTTTAATAGTCTGGTGCTCAGGAAAGACCTGCAGTGATTGTAACAATTTTATATTATTCAGATAGACCATTGTATTTATTATGATGTTTCAAATACTCTGATTTCACATATCCTTGTGGCAATTTTATATTTTTGTCAGCCATAATATTTAACATATTCAGACATCTGGCTGGAAATCTGATTACCCTAACAACCTGGCCATAGCTATATAACAGATTTGTGTCTATTTGGTAGAGGAAAGGGATTGCCGTCTGTATTTCGCTCGTTTCTTTGTTGCACTTGGCATTCATGATGGTATAGCAGGCTGCCATTTTGATTTCATCAAGTAGCATTCTTTGTTTCAAACACAGGATTATCAATATTTCCATCTTGTTTTATGTATGCTTTGTTCTCTAGCGTGAGCAAAAGACGCCTTATGGCCCCATCCCTGTCTGTCTGCCACATTTTTAGGCAACCTGCATGACTGTCATTGTGCAACAGTAAGAACCATGGTCCCACTGCAGCATTGGGCCTTGTTTTTGAAACAATTATATTGTGCAGTGGGAATAAAGGTAATAATAATGCCCTATGTGATGTGGCATGAAATACACCTTTGGATTGTCAGTGTATTCTAAAGGGTACACCTTTCCAATCTTGTTTAACATTCTGTTTGGCTGTTCTCTGTCAGTACCTGGTTTTAGAATTGTCTACCATTTTTGACATAGATTACAAGAACAAACCAACCAACAAACTGTGTGCCACATCAGAAGTTTCCAACCACTGGTCTGATTATGTTAACAATTTCCATTATAGTTTGTACTTTGTATTTGTTTATTGACATGTCATTGTTAGTGTATGCAATTTTTATAGAAATCTAAGGAAAAAGAAAATTATACCACAGTGTAAATCAGTATGAGGCAAAATAGGAAGGGTTCCAGCATTCTGGCATGAACCAGAGAAACATGTTCTGTGTAGGACTTATTTCTGCTGTCACAGTATACTGAAAACTGGTCTTCCATATGATGTATTTACAACTAAAAGGTACAAATAATCCAGAACTCATATTTTGAGCTCTCTCTCTCTCACACACTCATTGCAACACTTACAGTCATATATGACCCTGAAGTTTACTCATTGCAACTCTTACAGTCATATATGACCCTGAAGTTTAATATCTCTATTAGTGAGCAGCGGAGGGTAGGACCGAATGGAAGAGGAGAATTGAGGCCATGGACCGAATACGGACCGCAGAGCCATAGAAGAAGAATTAGTGATTGATCTTGTAAACAATTGATTTGCATCCAGAATCAATAAAAATTAAGTCATTAAGGGATACAAAATCACATGTTATATATTTGGAGAAAATATTTGTTCATGCATGTGCTGGAACCCTTGATATCTTTGCCTTTTCATGAAAAACAATGTAGGATCATAAAGCAAATTGACTTTTTCTCATGAAGGTGATGAGTGCAATATATGTTAAGGACACCCTGATGATGGCACAGTGACTGCAGCAACATTATCTATTGGATCCAAGATGTGAAAAAAGGAAGGAATCAATTCTTAACTTTTATGTTACCGTTTTAATAAAATGGGGGGGGGGCAAACAATGCAATGTATTATTTTAAATTTCAGTCTGTACTCATCAGTCGGTTAAAAGAGTTAGATAAAACTCGTAGAACTACGGCATAAACTTTTTATATTACAGTTTTTGGGTATGTTGAGCTCTTTAATTTGTTCTGTCAGTGGACTTTGAGATTCCGAATTCCTATACTTACAGTGATGTGCATGCCACTGGTCTGACTTGAGTAATGTGATAAGAGTACAGTTTCCCAAGATAAGTTGCTAAAATTATGAAGCTTGATTTTGAGATTGAAACCAAGTTTAAGAATAATTTCAAAATCTGGATCTCAGCATATCCCTGCTTAGTATTACATTATCAAGAGATACTGATAATTATAGATGTAATCATAGGGGCACTACATAATCTGTTCCCATTTGGCAGGTTATATGTTAAGCATACATGATAAATATTTTGAGAGATGGAAGACATTGTGCATTATATCACTTAGATTTAAGAGAGAGCTTTATGTGTTGGAGGACAAGCTGTATGCCTGTGCCATGAACTTGTAGTTGTAGGTCCAGTAACAAATAAAATAACTTTGGCATCAAGTAGTTCTTATAAATGAAATAAGTGTTTAATGACCTGTAAACCCACTTCTCCAAATCAAATTGTTAAAATAACAAGATGAGACTTGCTAGACATCTGACTACAGTATTGTTTATCTCTCTAAGACTAATGATATCAGGGCACAAGGGAGTAAACGTATTTGACACACTAAATAATGAAAAATATTTTTCAGTATCAGTTTAGTCAGTGGATATTGTTGAGTATGATGTTCGTCTGTTAAGGGCATTAGATTTGTGTTTCTAAGACCACTGTTGGGTGCAGTGGCAAAAAGCAACAAAACAAGGAACAATTGAGCAACCAGAATTTTGAGAATATTTGTAATAAAATTTGATAATTCCAATTTAGGTCTCTTGTCATATAATTTTGAATGGTAACTAAATTAAATTGTGTGCTACATTACATAATTGATTTTAAGTAACAAATACACAGAATTGGTGGAACTGAAACAGGGCCCCTACACATGAAGTGAGAAGAGATGGCCTTATTTATGGCAAGAATAAATGTTGCATTTTCTTGTTCCACAGTTTGTGATATTCCTTGTACCCTTGAGTGTCAAGTGTGTAAAGGAGTTCAGGTACCATATACTTAAAAGAAAACAAAAACTAGGGACTGTCTTTCTGTCATGTTTGATGTTACTGGGAGCTACAGCAATGTAATCACTCATTTAATAAATACAACTGAGTTTGAAATTCAAAGGAAAACAAAAGAATATACACAAAATTGTGAAACAAAAGTACTCCTGTCACAATATTTCTGATCTTCAATGGCCATTACATTGGTGGTCAGCCAGCTAAGGTATGGAGAGGGCAGGGACGCAACGTCACTTAAGGTGTCTTGTTCCCCCCTTGCCCTTTCTATCTTCCCTTCTCCTCTTACTGTGACATATCTAAGGTTTGCAGATATTTTGCATCCAGTATTAGTTTTCTGTTTGTTATTCAAATTCTCTCAAATATTAATCTAGAACTTATCTATCATCGTACCAGCCACACATCACAAATTAGGTGAGAGATACAACTAAACTTATTCAGCCCTAAAGGTGGAGACAATATGTTTTTCAGAAACAGAATGCACCTACGCGTTTACGTGGCATCACAACCCAGAAGAACATCTATAGTCTTTATCAGAAGGCAACCATAACTGGAATATCAGATCTACGAACATTTTTGTTTTCCTTCATTCTGAAGGATTATTAACATCGCTTTCTACCTGTTGTATGAAGCTGTTGTCACATGCCCAATGCATCAGGTTACTGAAGGCTGTTGATACTTCTTGCAACTTGGATGCTATCAACATTTCATCTGCATATAGTTTCTCTGACAGCTATCCTTTTGTATTGTCCTTACTGCGCCTCTCCTTGCTACGATGAAGCGAAGCAGGCTGAGTTGGACATCCTGAAGTATGCTGTTGTGAAAACTTTGCAATGTATTAGACAAGCAACCTTACAGAGGTTTCACTTTTTATAATCTTAGTGTAATAATTATCAGAATGGAATTCAGTTGAAAATAGATAATCCACAAAATTTGTACAATATATTTCAGACTAATTTGATACTGACATCACTTGGGTATTTGGACATATAGAGGAAGTTAAGGAAATTGAACTGCAGATACCACACCCAAAAATGCTACGAACCGTGGCCAACAGTAAGTTTTAATGCAAAATGCAGATACCACACCCAAAAATTCTACAAACCGTGGCCAACAGTAAGTTTTAATGCTTCTCCCATAAAAAAGTAACATGCTGGAAAAGTTATTTTAAGAGAAGGGAATGGCTACTTTATAGGAAAAAGACAATTTTACTTTCTCCAACCAGAGAAACATTTGTTTCTGTCATACAAATTACTCAAGAGGAATAATTGCTACATTCTACACTGAGAATTGTGTATGTCAATTCACCTACAACACTCCAGTTGTCCTTTATATTTGTAACACTTCCATCAGAGATATAAACCAATTATTATTTGGATGTCTATTAGAGTACAATAGCACTTGTTAGTAAATACTGTGTATTCTGTTTTTCACCAGTATACCAGATTGGACAACTGACAAAAACCATTTCACATTATTCCCAAATGCAAAATTTACCTTTACAGGATGTGGTTTAAATTCAAAGTGTAATATGGCATTTTACTGCTTCTCCTGTTTGCATTGCCAATTAACAGTGATGAAGTGCAGAAATTGTATTGATTCCAGTTTTTAAACAATATTTCTAAGAATGAATCAATGTACCTGTATGCAAAGATCTGACCTTATGTTCCATTACAATAATTTGGTGCAATTTCACACACATTTACATATCATTTGTTGTATAAAGTAAAAGAAAAGTAATATTGACATTACAAGAAAGGTAATGGCAGAGCAAAGTAAGTTATTGCTTTAAGCTGTTTTTTGTTTTTGGATATAAGAACCGTCTGGCCTTGGAAGGGTATTAAATGGATAAAATGGTAGGATTACCTGGAGTCAGTCTGCTTGATATATGCTGCATTGAGTTAAGCAGTTATCTTCATAAGACATCTGAACAGTCCAGAATATGGATGCCTCAGGCACTGCTATGACACTGATGCCTTTCTCCTGCTGGTAAGCTACAACTATGACCAAACAGATGAGAGGATTGTTCAGTAAGAAACACAGAAGCTAGGTAAAAAGAAAAGTTGATAATTGAATGTTGATTGTGGTCTGGATTGTGAGATTGTGTGGACTTATAGGTTGATATGTTTTAGAGGAACATACCACCTCCATCTTTCAGGATTGAAACCCTGATGGTGGCAGTGTGTTCTTCCAAACTGTTGGCATCCACCTACAAGTCCACATAGCATCACAACCCAGAAGACCACCATCTACACATTCAGAACCTCAACTCTTGCATAATAACAATATAACTGATTTCTCATCAGTCATATTTGTTATTTTCATTGAAGAAGTTTCTTTTGATGATGAAAATTCAGGACTGAAGGAAGTTTCTTTTGATGATGAAAATTCAGTGATTATTATGATGTATACTTATATGTTGGCCTGTATACTGGATGAAGCTAAATATGGTCTCTACTATCTTACAGTATTTTTTAAAAATATATTAGCAGTTAGCAGACTGTTTGAAATCTCACTATACAGTATGAGTTTTATAAAATTCAGATGTTCGTAATTATTCTTGCTCTAAAACATTCTCAAATAACACGTTAGAAATAACCAACAACATATTGTTTGCCATATTATTATACAAGAAGCTTGGCTTTAAACTAACCTGCAATGATGAATTTTAATATATATTTTCACTCTATACCAGTGACAAAGCTATTCAAACTGTAGAGATGCTTCACTTAGCAACATGTTCTATAAAGAGAGATATATTTTGCTGGTGAATACTATGTCTTTTCTTTTCTGATTCATAAACAAACAAAATGGTTATATCCATTAAGATATCTTACTGTGTCGTACAATTTTTGTATCTTTCATGCTGTATCAATGTCACATGTTGCCAATGTTTTATATCAACTGATAATGAAAGAATAAGAAGTGTGTACAGTCATGTCCAGAAATGAAAAGTGTTATTTGTTTAATTATGTAAACATTAACTCAACAGCCCATTTATTGGGAGTTGTAAGTCATTCAGTTTGTATTCAGCTGGTTGGCAGGCAGTTATTTGCTGTGAGCAGCAAGTCACTACTACTGTCTAGGCAGAAGGAGCTGTTGATGCTGTTTGGTTCACAGACAGGCAGTGTCCTAGTCCATGCAACTTGGTATAGTTGGCTTCCATTACAGCAATCGTTTCAACAAGCTGAGCATCACACTGCACTGGATTTCCTGTTATAGATGTAAGAATGAACTTGAGTGTAATACCTTAAGGGAATTAGACATTTTAATTATTAACATCATGAAATACTTCAGTTAGTAGAAAACCGAAAAGATTATGTCTATGTATCCTTCTATGTGTTACCATCCAAATTACTTGTGGGAAAAGCTTTCAGACTTTAAAAGCATCTAAGGTAGCAACCTTGTGTCTATATTCTAAATTATCACAAAACATGAAAGGTTAAATATACCTAGTGTTGTCGTTACTACCAGTGTTAAACACATGTATTGTTAAAATCAGATGCTATTATCAAGATTAATATGATAACACAACATTCAAAATGTGTATGGAGGTTATAAACAAATGTTTAAATCAAGGCCTATTCTAAGTGGGTGGTGGAATTTTCATGTACTTACCTTAATAAATCAAATGATCATGTTGTTACACAAACACAGAATAAATATCATCGCCAACATATTATAAAACATCTAAGAAATTGCACATAGTAATAAATATGACTAATACATTGAAGTGTTTAACAATTTATATAAAAAAATTTCTAAAGTTTATATGATAACAGATATACATATTAAGTTACACAGTACTTAATTTAAATTAGTTGTGATATGATGGGTTTATTCTGCTGTCCTTAAAATTGGCTCATACTAGTTTAAACCATATTACCTGTCAGGTAGACTCGCAGCACACCCAGCAGTCTGTGCATCCGGCAGTGTGTCTTGGATGCAAGGTCACGCCCTATAGATTGGATCTGGTTATGTGACAGATCAGCCCTGCAGAGAGTGGGTAATCCATGGAAATCTTGTTTCAGTGCTGTCAGAGCATTGTGAGATGCATACAGCTGCTCCAAGGATGGTAAAAATGTCTGAAGCAGTTCATAATAACAGTATCAATATAAATGATTTGATCTTTTCTAAACCTACCACAAAGGTAATATTTCACATAGTAAGAGCTATGGAAACTTCCATGTTCTTCATGAAATACAAGACCAGGTAACTTGAAAGGAATTCAACTTCAATATGAAAAGTTCAAAACTTGGTGATTTTTGTAAATGTTTGCGTGTTTACATTCATGCATGTTTGGTTGCACTCACAGGGGAAATATTTAAATAGTTATGGACATCACAGAAAGAATTTAAACAATGTAACATGTAATACAGCTGACACTTCTCATTGTTGTTCTCTATAACAATACGTTCTGGGTGATATTAAAGAAATCATACCCTATTGAATTCCAATAGGCTTTTTACACTAGTCAATTAATATAAGGGAGGTATCATTCCATGCATTCACATTTGCACTACATGAAGGCGATGTTATCTCATATGTGTTTTATTTTTAACAGAAGTAAGATCTTAAGTTACTTGGGATCAGTTAGAAGATAAATGCACTTGGTAACTGTAAGTCATGTGGTGTGACAGTGGGAGTTTTCAAAACAATTAAATTACCCCAGAATGCCATTGCTTTACAAGAGCCAGTATCATATCTTCTAGTGTTAATCAGCAATATATGCACAGTTTTTATTCCCAAGTTGTACCTTTGAAGTTTCTTCCAGTGTTGTCAGGCGATTGAAGGACACATCAAGAATGCGAAGGTCCTCTAAACCAATCAAATCATCGGGAGCAATTTTTTCCAGAAGATTGTTGCTTAGGTTCAGCTTCTGAAGACCGTGAACACCCATCAAAGCTCCATCTAAAGTCCGCAGCAGGTTATGGTCCAGACGTAACTCTACAATCCTGGTTTCAGGTTCCACCAAGTTCTAGAACAACATGTCATACAAATCTACAAAATGATTTCAAAGTCCTTACAGGAAATGGATTGAGAATGATATTAAGCATGTAATGAGTGTAGCATTATGGATTTATTCAGCTTTTATTTAATTACTGTAACAATCAAGCTAGTTAGAAATATACAATTCATCTGATTTCTTTTGGGAAGTTTGTGAATTCTTTTCTGGGGCCAGTATTCCTCCCCAAGACTTTCTGTGGTTTCCTCATTCTCAGCAAGCATACACTGAAGAAACTGAATGACTGACTGACTGATTGATTGCCTGATATCTTTAGGGTTGTTTCAGTTGCAGATGATGCACAGTAATTTCACAAATATGGCTCTGTGAAATTAGTTGCGATCATGTAAATATTACATTGGGTGTGGAGAAAATGTCACTATTAAAATTTATAAAGACCAGATAAGATTCAGTCTGAAAGTTTTTATCTGTTTAATTTTTTGACATTCCTATGTAACTGTTAAATACAGGAGAAGGAACTTTAAATCCATTAATCTTTTTTATGAAAGGTATGTTAACAGAAAGCATTGAGTTTATTTTACTTTCCGTTTTTGTTAATGACAACAAATTTAATAGAAATTATAATGAAATTTTTTTCAAAATATAATGCTTTACCTCCATTCGTCCACTAAGATGAGAAATCTTGTTGTACGAGAGATCAATTATCCTAAGTCTCTTTAAGCCTTGAATATCTTGTAAGGAGAACTCCTGAAGAAGATTATTGGTGAGATTCAGACAGCGGAGAGAGCGCAGTGGAGCAAGAGATCCATTGAGTGATATTAACTGGTTGTGTCCAAGTTGAAGATCTTCTAAGGAATCTAATTCGGTAAATTCATCTGATAACAACTGTAAACAAACAGATGAAAGATGTGGTGTCATATAGGCAATGAAGTTTTATTATAACACAAGAAATGCACTGATATGTATTACAAATATTTCTTATATGACATTGCATTCTCTTTGTATAGAGATAAAACAAAGTTATGGAACTTAGCAGGAAATAATCAATCAGAAGTAAATTTTTTTAACAAATGCAAAATACCTACACCAGTCAATACAGTAAATGAACTCATCACTGTGAATTCATTATAACATAATAAATAAAATTTATGTGGCATTTGAACAAAAAATTATAAATGTTGAAAGAAACACAGTTTTGTAAATAAGGCAGAATAGCTACAACCAAAATCTTAAAAATCATGTTAAAGATTCATGTAAATTTTATAATCAGTCCCCATTATACAAAAAAATTAGGAACGGGGATAGCTCAGTCTGTATAGTGAATGACTATGGACTAGACAAGTGGGGTTCTATCCCCGATGGGACAGAGGATTTTTCCTCTAGCCTCTGCATCCAGACCATCTCTGGGGCCCACTCAGCCTCCTATCCAATGAGCACTGGGGTCCTTTCCTGGGGGTAAAGCATGGCCAGTGCGTAATGTTGACCACCCCCATCTAGTGCCAAGGTTAAGAATGAGTAGGAGCTATACCTCCTCTCCCCCCAAGCAGCTACATGGCGTATAGTGGGACATCTTGACTTCACATGCGCTACATGGCATATAGTGGGACATCTTGACTTCACATGCACAGGCAAATCTGAAACTTCTCATCGTTATGTCACTTTATTAAGACACTTCTAATTTCAAATTCAAAATTATCATCATTTAAACAGAGTGTTTCTTGGTAACAATACTTTGAAGTATCTTGGATGTAATCAGACTTCCAAAGACAGAAAAATATAAATGTAAAACATAGAGACAGAATTCACCATTCACCACCATCCTTCAATTTGACTACACAATTAATGCAGTTCAAACAATATCAATAAGCAAACCAAGAATTAATGATCTCTGCAGACTGACAATCATATTTACCTCCTGGATCTTATTATGACAAAGGTGAAGTCTTTTCAGGTTCCTTGCCCTCTGCACAGTTCCTCCCAAATTGAGCAGTTCATTGTGCTGGAAGAAGAGAGACTCAAGAAGGATGAAGTTCTGTAGTTCTTGTGGTAATTTCTGCAGTTGGTTGCTACCAGCATGGAGCAGAGCCAATTTGTTTCCTTCTCGGGGAAGTTGTTCATCAAGGGTAGTCAGCTGGTTACCATTTAGAAACAACCATTCTAGCTCAGTCAGGCCCCTGCAATAATTATTTAAATTTTCCATATCATAATAAGAGATTATAATAGCTTCTGAAATGTTTTATGAGACACATAGCAGTTTAGTCTCTTTTCAGGTATGAAATACAGGAAAATGACAAATATAAATAGATTTTATATATTACATTATATGAAATACAGGAAAGATTCTATCAAAAAAATGAATTCATTGGTGGACTTCTGTGCTGCTGAATCTTTTTGTTCCATATGAAAATGGAATATCTTGATTAGCCGAATAAATATCAGCTGCTTACGAAAATTCCTTATTAACCATGGAGTTTGTATTCTACTGTCCCATTTGTTACAACATGATAAAAAATTAACTTAAACATCATTGTTGCTTACAGCAATGAAATATTTACCTGAGTGTGTCATTCAAGTGCATCAGCTTGTTACGGCCAAGATGAAGATGTCTTAATGTGTGTGGCATGGAAGATTGATCTAGTTGAGAAATATTATTTCCTGCAAGCACTAGATGTTGTAAATCTGTCATGTTCTGCAAAAGCATTAAAGGAAATTTTTATAACCATACGCTCAAATTCAATCAATGGAAGACAGATTGTTATAAACTATTCACAATAGATCCATGGGCAGTAACATACTTTTACAGGTCTAAGCACTTACTGGTATTACTTACTTAACTGACCAAAGAATTTTCTGAAGTAATTGATCCTATCGTAAACTGATGCATTCCACTTCACATCCTTACCACATACTTCCTATATTTCAACATTTTTCATCCTATCTCTGCTCGTGTTTTGAAAGTGTTTCCCATAGTGTTTTCTAACCATAGATACGAAGCCTATGAATTACTAAGTTCCTAATTACATAATATTCTTTTTCCTTTGTTATTTTACCTCTATTAGGCTCAATATTAGTTCAGACAGACACTGTTAAAAACCTTGTGTATATAAATAGTTCAGATTTTGGAAGAAATTCCATGATACTGAAAAAAGACAACAGAATTACTGAGACGTCATGTGATGACTCTTGGGTTCACCTGGAAGTCCTTGTCTGTGATTGCTTGGAGCCTACTACGACCAATGTCAAGTGTCTTCAGTACAGGCATCTGTTGCAGAATATGATTTGGAACTTCAGGAAGAGAGTTATCAGCCAGGCTCAGATATTCTGTGCGTCCAAGTCCAGCAAATACAGACTCTGGCAAAGAGCTGAAAAATAAAATAATGTCACTACATATAATGCTGTAACATATAAATTACTTTAAATTGCATATATCCAAAGGAATGTAAATAAAATACAATTAAATTCTTGAAAACAGACAGACTTGAATTATGTGTTCTTTCACACTGAATCATGATTATGTAATGAATCAAGATAATCAAAGTCTCTTAGAGCTCTAATAATTTTGTGGGCAGGAACTGTGTTCTGTGGGAATCTGACTAGCTTGTAATTTTGTTCCTTATATTCACTTGTGCAATTAACTGTTGTCGGAACAATGTTCTCACCTTTACAAATAATAACCTGAGATTTGTCATTTTATGTTTCTGTTTTACGTTCACACGTTATGTAGCACACATTTACCCTTGAGTAACACCACATAATATGTACATAAAATGTTTAAATGTCTGTTCAGTGGAGGGAAGTCCTTGAGAGAATAAATGTCCTGTATTTTATTAATTTTAATTTTGACAGTAATATGGACTAGCAGAGTTTTCACAGTTAACTACACACTTATCAGAAGAAAGTGACAACTACCAAGTAAAAAATAGCAATAACATAAAAGAAGAAGCCTTTATAACTCTACTGGATTAAGTCTAGTCAGCGAAGAAATTTTTTTAAATTAGGGTTTAAATACTATACCATATTTCATTTTTCTGTGAATGTACTGAATAAATATTAAGCATTAAAAAGAGCTACCTCTCTGAAACTTTACATGTTCCCACAAACATTATGAACAATTTAAGGTTATCGAGAACATTAAATTTGGCTACCATGTAGGGCACGACAATTTCTGTACTTGAATTCAAGTAAAACATATGCTACACTGTAACACTATGTTGAAAAATCCTTGACATTAAAGAGTACATACAAATGAAGTTGGATTTAGGTTTGACATTGGCCTATTGTATGGCAACAAGGAAGCCATCTTGTCTTCCTAATCTCAAATTGTGGAGCCTTTCCGGGGTCGTGGCACAATCCGAAAACTCCCTTATCTGAATGCACTTCGGATTCATTTAGATCG